TTGTGAGAAGGCATCTGAAGGTGAAGAGACTACGAACGAGATACCAATGTACTCGAAAGAATCCTAATGTTAGAATTTACCGAGGAGTTCTCCGATCGTCGTTAACATTAACCGAGGGGTAACTTTCCAAATCTACGCAAGTTATTTTTTCTTACAGATATGGTCTAAAAAAAAAAAAAAAAAAAATATTTGAAAATTTGTGGATAAAGTTACTTTTTTTCCATTCGAGTGTAATTTCCTGTCGCTTACGATATTAACTTTATTTTATCGGTGTTTTTTATGGCTTTCTTATCGTTTTTATTGCATTCTGTTTTCAATATTGAAATATAACTTAAGAGTTCATCAAAGTAGAAGGCACGAGAAGTTTAATGTTTATAATAATGTGTTTTTTTTTGTGCACCATATTTATCAAACAGATTATTATTCAACTTGTATTACTCTTCGGAGCATATGTCGCGCGAACGATTACACGCGATGAAAATACACGTTCTCGTTCATCGAATTGTTAAATAAAAATCAACGACGAAAATTTGAGTGCTTGGAATGTTATCCTTCGGCTGATGTAATGATCAATATACATATAAAAATAAAAAAGAAAAGTACCAGACTGTGATAGTACATCGTGATGTACAGATATATACGTACATATATGAAATTTGCTGATCTCTGTTTTATCGACGCATACTAAGTAAGTGATCCTCTTACATATATTTTCTTTGATTGCGATACTATTGTATTGTTTATCTATTTCATATAATGCTACAACTACCTTATAGGAGAGCAACTGCAGTAATAAATATAAGTTAATAAGTAATCATTGAAATAACCGGTACTTTGAGAATAGCGAATCATAAATTACTCGTAAAATCGTATAAATAATGTTTACACGAAATAGTAGTTAAACAATATCAATCTGGGCGAAGAAAAGAATATCGAAGGCAATACACGAGCAATTGTTATGAATCATTCGACGGAATGATAATTCTGTAAACATTATAAAAGTGAAACGTACAGTTCGTATCTCGTATGAGTTTTTCCACCTAGATCTCTATTTATAAACTCGTGCTAAAACTATCTACCAACAACTAGCGCCCCATATCTTCCGAACGGGATAAACTTTGATGTTTTCTGCTTTATCGATGCTTGTCAATGTACGATAGATGTAAGTCAGAAAGGGATAAAATAAAAGTAAATGTAATCTTTGAAAAAATAACGATACACCGCGTTGATATACATACGTATCTCGCCAAATTTTGTCAACATCTTTAAGGTGTTATACCTAAAATTGTTTTCGCTTTAACCTGTACGATAAAGAATAGAAATCGTCTAAAATTCGTGAGATAATTGTAAATTGTTTGCATCGAGGGAAGATTTACAGCGCGAGATTTATATTTACTCGAATGATATCTAAAAATAGGTTGCTACTGGTTGACTGGTATGCGAAAGCAACATGGGGTATCATTATCATTATTGATAAGTCCTGATAAAGGTTAATGAAAGTGATTTAAATAGACACACTCGAGAATCCATTTATGACGCTTGATTTTCGAATTTACTCGTACAGCAATCGTGCCCAACGTGCTTTTCAGAATAAATAAATAAACGTTCGATTACTTTGATAATGGAGTAATTCAGAACACATTTGGCAAAATATCGACATTCTACGTTTCAAATTAAAAAGATCTTTAAACAATTTTCTAATCTAACGGTGTTCTCGACTCGATAACAAATTGAAAGAAACGCTTAGTTTTCAAGATATAATTCTAAAAAATCTTGAATTATATGTAGGATGTATTCGCGCCTTTACGCGGCTAAGTTCTGACGCATGTGAACACCGGGTTGCCTGTTGCTAGGGACGCTTAAATAAGAAGCGCGAATATAGGTAATTATAATTTATTTTAAAATATTGAATAAATCCTTGGTGTAAATTAGGCCGAACTATCAAAAAATACGTGTAAAAAATTTGGATCATATCGGACTAACCGTTTCTGAGAAAAGTGTACCGTTATACCAAAAACCTAGGTTTTCAGGACAGGCAAAAACAAAAAATTTGTGTGTCTCGCTCGATTATCGATATAAATATTATCTAATCGTATTTCTTTTTATCAAAATCGATAAAACACTGTCATTTTGATCATTCACCGTCTTTTTTAACCTGAAAAACAATACTCTATGGTTATAACCAAGGTAACCGCGTCACCGGTCTTCCGTAAATTTGACTGTGCCATTGTTTTCGCTTCGAGAAGTTTGTCAGTTGTACTTCCTTATATTTTTTACAGGTTTATCGCATTCTTTTTACTAAGTTCGTGTCGTCGAACTTTTTTTATGAGAAAAAACGAAATATTGTAAAAAAAAAATTCTATTTTTTTTGTCAACAAATTTTATTTACCACTTCTAGTGTCCTAAATTCAATTTTCTTTGCGTAGAATTGTTCAGAATCGCTTAAATTTTAATAAAAAAAAAAGTAATTTTTTTTAATTTTTTGATATTCCAAACCCCTTAATATCGTTCTATTTTCAAGATAATAATACAGCTATCGTAATAATTATATCTTGAAAACTAAGAGTGACCAACAATTATTTCTTGCGCCAGGACACTCAGAGATGTACTAAAGACCGGAGAAACTTTATTTGTTATAATACTAAAAGAAACTTAAGAAAAATATTATTTTCAATTTGCTAATGTTTTTCTACTTTATTAAATAATTTTGTTCTCCGAAGCCCTCTCAAGGAGTACGGAATACTCTGTAGCATCGACAAATCGTCTTCAATTATGGAAGTGTTGCCCTATATTGATTCTTTTTAAATTTATTACACTGTCCAACACGATTTTTTTCCGCGATATCCACTAGGTGATTCTTATAGGGTTCTTCGTCCTAAATACGAATCTGAAAGTGAAATTGCTCCATCACCCTTAGGTTTCGAGAAATACGAGATTTTGTAAAAACGGTCGATTTTTAGAGAAAACGTAGTACTACTTGAAAACTACGAACGCTAGAAAGTTCTATTTAGTCTTAAAAGATAGAGGAGTATTTTCTGAATATGAAGACATATTCTTTTAGAATTATCTGCACCTTTGAATGCCTGTAAATGAACACCGAATTTCAAAAAGGTGATGATGCGTGAATTTTTCACCAAATACTTTTGTATTTTAATGAAAAGTTATTCACCTAGGTCGAATTTACATTACGTTATCGGATTCTACAAACATTTCTGAAGAGAAAACCACTCGCGGCAAATGTTGGAACGGTTTCTAATCCATACGGTTCGACAAAATGTCAACTCGGAACGCATGAACAGAGTTTTGCCGCTGTACAGCCATTGCTCGCTATGTTTCGGTCAGTCAGGGCCGTCGCTATGGGATTCGCCTAATCGGTGCGACACGCTATCGGTTTTTCTATTACATTTTTAATATTTCATTTGTATTACATTTTTAATATTTCATTTGTATTACATTTTTAATATTTCATTTATGCAACTCAACAAAACGGAGACAATTGTCCACTGTTTAAATTTTAATCATTAATCTCCCGTTTTTGTATCTTCAATTATTCGACTTTTGCTAATTTGGTATTGAGCAAACTTTATTTAAATCTAAATTTAATTATTTAACAATTAATTCAATCTATAATTGTATATTTTGTTGTTAATTTTTAATGAAAATTGCTACCTATAAAAAATATCTCTTTAGAGCAGAGTTTACCTCCCAAGCACTAACTTAAATAACGAAAGATGAAAGTATCGAAAAGTAGAAACATTAAGCTTTAAAATGGTTTTCTATTCGTCAATGTGGGGTGAATTTTAACAAAGTTACGAGAATTTGATGGTTATTATTCAAGCGCGTGGCGACGATTGTGCAGAACGCATGACGACGGCCCTGATTCACCGATGCAAAGCGAGCGAAGCCTGCGCGCCGGCAAACAAAATTCGTGCATTCTAAATTAATATTTTCTGGATCTGTACGAACTAGAAAACGATCCAACATTTACCGCGGGTGGTTTTCTCTTCAGAAATGTTTGCAGAATCCTATAATTGATAGTAAATTCGACCTAGACGAATAACTTTTTATAAAAATACAAAAGTATTTCGTGAAAAATACTCGCGTCGCCAACTTTTTAAACTTCGGTGTTAATTTACAGGCATTCAAAAAAGCAGATAATTCTAAAGGAATACGTCTTCATATTCAGGAAACGCTCCTCTCTCTTTTAATACTAAATAGAACTTTCTAGCGTTCGTAGTTTTCAAGTAGTATTACGTTTTCTCTAAAAATCGACCGTATTTACAAAATCTCGTATTTCTCGAAAACTAAGGGTGATGGAGCAATTTCACTTTCAGATTCGTATTTAGGACGAGGAACCCTATAAGAATCACCTAGTGGATATCGCGGAATTAAAAAAAATATGGAAGCGTTACCCTATATTGATTCTTTTTAAATTAATTATTATTCCATTTTAAAGAATGCAATTACTGCAAATTCGATCGAATAACAATTGATACCTTGAAAGTATTGCTTTGTTTCTAGATGTTCGCATACCGATTACACATGCTTTTGAGTTTGATACTCGTAATAGCGATTCTAATGTCAGATACCGAGCACGCGCAATCGGCTGTATTTCAATATAGACTAAAACGACAAGCAGAAAATGACGCTCGTAAATATTGCGGTAGTAGTCTTTCGAGCACCCTGCGAATGCTCTGCGGTAGCGTGTACAACTCCCGGTTCAAAAAAAATACTCCAGGTAATTTCAAATCACGAGAATTTAAAATTCATATCGACCTATAACAAATATCGGAGAAAAAATGATTTGAAATTTTTTTCAGAAATGGAGATGGATTATTACGCGCTCGGTAACGATATGCATCCGTATAGATCTATCGAGAACGCTAGGAAAATGTTGAGATTCCGAAGGAATTCACTGGGCATTCATCAGGAATGCTGCGTAAAATCATGTTCGACGCAGGAACTGCGCTCCTACTGTGGAAGTCGTTGACAAATCATTTTTGTCTACTCTTTAAATCTAGAAAATGAGCCAGCTCGTCATTTGAAAAAGCCTTCTAAACGCACATTTGTCGTGGTCACGTTAGTCGCGATAATTACGGTCTTAAAAAGTACCGCGATATTTTCCTAGTTTTTATTTCATCCAGAGTAGTAGTACTCTATACATATAATTTCAAATTTGTATGAAATTTTTACTTCGATTGATAAGCGTAATATTTACTCGTTTTCTTAAATATTTCGTTGAACAATGAATTTTGTATTTTGTAAACAAATTTAACCGTATCGGTAGCTTTATGTCATTTACATTTGTACTTCACCGACGAATCCCATGAGAACAGATTTTAAGTATGTTGTCAACTATATAAACATGTAGTCATTTAGCCAAATTTCTTCTTTTATTAACGTAACAATGGTTAAGAAGGACGTAGTTAGAATTTTCAGGTTAGTTTCTTTTTAAATTTAGCCTTATACGTGATAGAAAGCAAATAAATTATTGATCGTACATGTGAAAATAAAGTTTATTTTTAACAAAAGATTATTATAGGTTAGTTTTCGTTACCAATTTTCTCATAAGATTACATATATATTTTATTCGCGTTACTGTCGATATGTAAGACGAGAATATAATGTTTTCACAAGCTAAGATATTATTTAGTAGAATTCTATTTTAAGAATATGAAGCTTCAATAGATAAAGCCAAGCAACATGTTGTGAATTATTATACTATATGGTACGAGTATTTTACGAGCAATGGAGACAGAGGAAATTTATAGCCTTACACTTGCTCCACCCGTTATATCAAGATTTGCAGTTCAGTGGTCTCAAGACAATCATGTATCGATCATTACAGAGAAGGGAATTCATATTCTTGTAAGTCTTGTGTAAATTATCTTTTTATTTATCTTATTTTAAAATTGTAATCATAAATCTGATTAATTATGTATTGTTCTTTGTTTATATAGGAATTAATACCTACGCCAACGTCTCCTCATTCGATTATAAAATTTTCTCGATCTTTTGTTTATTCACCAACAACTTATCCAACAGAAGTTGTAATAAATAAAGTAGAATCTAAAATCTGGAACATGGACCGTGAAGATCTTTATTCATTTTTAATAGAAGAGAGTCTAACTCCAAAAATGTCTAACGTTAAGGACATGATACCGAAAATAGTTGATTTAACGTGGTCACCAGAAAATCTAATACATCCAGGCAAATGCTGTCTTGGAATTTTAACATCGACGGGTGCTTGTACAGTTATCCACAAAATTTCGACAGATTGGTATCCCGCGCATGACTTATCCTCTATACGCTATAGAGCTGTAGAGAATGAAATTAATACAAAGCTAGAAAATATTAACGGTAATAATGATTCGTGTCTAACAATAAAAGATTGCATTAACATGCTATATGCTTCTTGCATGACTTGGAGCATACTCTTTGTAGATCATGCGTATCTTTCTGTTGCTTATCGCAATGGAGATATAGTTATTTATAAAATTTTTAAAATATCGGATTGTGATAAAATACCAGAACCTAAAATTGCGGGTACAATACGACTAAATGAAAATGTTAAAATAAATGCTTTGCATTGGATTACAATTAACACAGAAGAACATATGATTATTGTTGGATACTTCGATGGACGCATTTATGGTCTTAGAATTAAAAGTCACAACGAAGTAGTTGAACTTGAATCGGTTGACAAATATTACGATTATGCAGATCGCATTCCCGTTAGCGCTATAAGAACATTTCCTCGAGTTAATTCAATTATAAAAGTTCTTATTTCAAAAGGAACTTTCGTCTTTTTATTACATTTTACGATGAAAAGAACATTAATGAGTATAGAAAATGTACAATTAGAAGGATTCATGATTTCAGGTAAATGATATGTAATTCTTTTATAGAAAAATGGTAGAAATACATATAACCAATGTAATGAAATTAATAACTTTTAGGAGTAACTTGTATAAGTGCAGATTACGCACTAGTTACAACAGAAAATAGTTCGATGTTTGGAATTGATACACAAGAAAATAAATTATCGAAAATCGAAGTAAAAAATGGATTGCAACAAGCTCATGTACGATATCTGGGTCTAGCTCACTCTTTAAGTTACGTAATATTTGTAAATGTAACTTCTCCAAATAGTTTATACGACCATTTAATACTAAAAGAACCAAGCAAGATATGTATGTTTGGCTTAAAAGGTGAACATTGGGATCCATCTTTTATAATAAACAAAAGCGAAGGAGTGAAGTTCGAACAATTATGGGACTGTTTAGAAGTAATTAGGATGAAAGCAACTAAAGCAGCGGAACCTTCAACTGTATTGCCAAAAGTACCATCTAATTTGGAATGTTTGTCTTTACACGAGTTACGAATAGCAATGTGGGTATCGGTGATAATAGAAATTTGCGAGAAGAAAAAAGTAATTCAAGGAATAGGAAGTATAGCAGGAGAAATATCGGAAGTACAACCTTTAATTTTTGTCCACACTGCGTGTAATTATCTCGAATGTCTTGTAAATAAATCCTCACTGCTCGAAGAAGAGAAACTCTCTGTAAACTTATTAAGAATGTACTTGGAAGTGTACCTAGCAGGAGAAGAAAACGAAGAACCAACTCTGCTTTCAAAGCGTGTTAAAGATGTTTTACAAAAACTATCGCAATTTAGTTCGATCGGTGTCGAGACTTGTAATTTGTGCGGTGAAATAATAAACGATCTTTCTTGGAAAGTAACAAAATGTCTGCAGGGCCATATACTACCTAGATGTGCTATTACTCTTTTACAAATAACTACAGTGCGATATAGGATGTGTCATGTATGTGATTTAATCTTTCATCCTTGTTTAGATCACGAATTCGAAGAAACAAGGTGTCTTTTTTGTGATATACCCGTGCTTCAGGATAATCGGGTATTAAGCTCGAAATCTTTCGTCTCTATAGAGAAGAGTTTGTCTAGACCACAAAATTTTATTTTCGAGACATTGGAAGATCGAGAAACTGAGGTAATCGCTGATGAATCTTAAGATAAATCATCTCACCTCAGGCAAAAATATACATATATATGCATTTTTAAATTTAAAAGTGACTTTATTTGTATGTATAAAAACTTTACAATGTTACACACACGTACAAATGCGATTACGAAGCGTTATATAATTTATGTAAAATATTGATGTAAAGGACTGTATGAAAATAATGCTACTTTTATATATAACTCAAAATAAAATATTTAATTTAAAAATAAATGCAAACTCCATAAGGTTGAATACGTACGTTACCGTTTTCATTTTTGGCGGGCTGCGCATGTCGCATGCATGAAAAGAGCACTTATTTAAAAACACTTTTTTAAACCAATAAATGTTACAAACACGTAGACTTGTAGAGACTTGTATGTGTATTGCACGCGTCGCTGTCAATTTAAAGCCATTTAACAAATGTAAATAAATAAATTTAAAAAACTAATACAATTACACGTATAAAGAGACACTGTAAGCGAGATCAAGCATGACCTAACTTTATACAAATTTTTGTAACAAAAAACAGATTTAAAATATGAAAGTAATACATTAGGAAACATACGAAAAATTGATTAGCGTTAATAAATATTATTAAACGTAGAACACTGTAGGAAATGGTTGGAAATTGTAAGAAAATTGGAATACAAAAATATAGAGAAGTGCGCATACGCGTTCTCCCGGACATTAGAGTAGGGGAGAACTGTAAAATTAACAATGGCGTCAAGCGTCAAGTGAAAACTTGTGAATCTATCAACTATCATCGTTATCTGTCTATAAATTGAGGTGTATTCTTCAAAACACAATACAAACATTGTCACTGGGGTGTACCAATGAAAGTGATTTAGTATAAACTAAGGATATGTGAATATTATTAGGATGCGAATTACTTTCTAGTCGCATATACAGAGTAATGTAATTCTGTTGTTACTTTCGGCTTCTAAGCCAAACTATGAAAATGTTTTGTTTTTTTTTTAATACAAAATCAGCTTAGAACTTCGTAAATATTTTAGTAGCCGCTATGTCTACTAGTTCCAAGTAAGTAATTATTTAAAAATATATATATTTTCTACTAGAGGTTTTATAAATATTCGAAAAAATTAATTTGAACGGAATAGAACTCTAATTGAATTGGAATTCAATTTATACAGCTCATGCATACCGTATTATTAGGATAACGGATCGATTTTATTTCAGACGAAGTATTAAAACAAAATCACAACAAATGATTAAGCTTGATAAAGCGAAAGATACTCAAAAGTTGATCCGTACTGTGTGCGATGATTCTAGTTCTGCTGAAGAGACGCAACCTTCAGTTAGGCCTTCTTCTGTGAATTTATGCATGGTAGACCTGAAGGATTTACAAAAAAGAAAGAGAGAAAATCGAAAGCACTCTGAAACAAAGTTAAAAAACAGTAGCGAAAGTGGTAATAGTTCAGCAGAACAAAATTCTAAATTAATTTCAGATGATAATACAAAATCTAAGAAAAGAAAAACATCTAAATTGGCTAATGAGAAAATAATAAAAGAAGTACAAAACAAAACTGTAACTGAGTGTAATTCAAAGTCGAAGGAAGGAAACAAATCTAAATTGACTGATGATGATACGATCAAAAAATTACAAAACAGGACAAATGTTTCGTTGTCGGAAGACTGCAATGACAGCGACAGCGAAAAGCAGGAAATGTCGCATAAAGAGCAATTAAAATTAAGCAAACATAAAAAAAATACAAAAAGTATGAAAGTTAAAAACGATGGAAAACAACAGAAAAGCAGAAACGAAGAATCGGAAAGTAGCGATTCAGAGGTTGAGACTTATGAAAAGCAAACTAGGAAAACAAGAAAAGAACACATAAACTTTTCTAAAGAGGATGTCATCTCTAGTTCTGGCGAAGAATTCCAGAAATCAAAATTTTCTCATATTAGTTCTAGTTACAAGAGAAAGTTATTTCAAGGCAAAGGGGACCATACGTCATCTACTAAGTCAAGTTTAACATTCAAAAAACAGGCAGAAGGTAGAACCGAAATAAGCAAAGAACAAAGTTTGCTTTTCAAGTCTCGTGTTATTAAAATTTTAAATAGATTTAAGGAAGCCTGTTCGGAATACGAGCTATCTATGGAACGTATACAATGGAAATATTTAAAAAAGGATTTAGGAAATCAAGCATCTGCAAATAACGTAATACTTAAATCGAGGAACGTAATTACGAAATTTAAAAGTGACCTTGATACACAAGAGAAAGATTTAGTAAATTTCTATGATGAATGGAGTAAAAGATGCAAATTACGAAATGTAGATTACGAATCTAATTTCTCAAATGAAAATGAAGTATCGCGAACAACAGACTCTAAAAAAAAATCTAGTTTGCCAAAGAAGAAATCATTCTTAGAGGAAGAATGTTTAGTTTCGGAATGCGATAGCGAAGAAATATTTTCTGGTGATGAAAAAAAATGTACTGAAATAACTGGTGACAAAAATAAGGAAGCGGAAGTTTCGATGCCTGATCAAACATCGGAACGATCGGCGAGTGACAGTAATGAAAACGTGTCATCCTCGGAAGATAATCAGGTTGTTTCTCCTATTTTAGTCGATAAAAAGAGAAAGGCAACGTCTGATAAATCAGATGTAAAAGATAAATCAAAAATTGTTGAGGCACGCATGGAGACTTCCGAGGATAATCAAGAAGATTCGAGTAATCTTGACGTCAATAATTCTTTACAAGATATATTTGAAGAATCAACTGAGAAAGTTGATGGTGTTAACGTTGCAAATGAAAAGAAAAGCGAATCTGAGAAAGAGAGTGATCAAGAAAAAGGTATCGATGAAATGGTAACTACAAAAACCAGCGTTAACGAAGATAAAACTTTGCCGGAAACTAAAGAATCGAGTGTTAAATCTGATGATAAACATTTAGATGTAGATAATGTGAAAGCAAATACACCCGACTCCTTTTTTTCTCAAGAAACGTTAACATCAAAAGTGGACGACAATGAATCGATTGCAACAGTTGGGATTGAAAGAGAGGAAAATAATAGTTTAGATAATCTAAATGATGAAGAAGCAGCTAAAAAAGCAATGTTAGAATCAGATTCGGATATATCTCCAAATGAAAAATCTATCCAAATTTCTACAGAAGGTAATCTAAATGATAAATCGAAAGTACAATTTGAGAAAATGAAGTCCACGAGAAAGGAAGAAGCAAATGAAAGAATAGCTAATTCCAGCGACAAAGACAATTCGTCGATGGAACAAGAGGATGTGGATATAGATGCAGAATTATATGCTAAGCATGCTCTTCTTGAATCGAATTCAGATGATTCTATGAGTCCATCTTCTTCAAAAGAAATGTCCGATAAAACTCACAATTCTGATACTAGTAGTAAGGACAAATATGCAAAGGCAGCGTTATTAGCTTCGTCGGACAGTGAAAGCTTGAGCTCTGATAGCAACTGCAGTTTACAAAATACAAACGTAGATTTGTCTTTGAAGAAACAGAAGGAAGAGAGGAAAAAAAATTCTTTGCAAGTTGAAGATATATCGACATTTGACACTAGTGTCAGCGAAAGGGTGAAGAAAAGACGAACTCGTTTAAGCTTAAAATGTGATTTAGAGAATGATAAAAAATTGAAAATGCGTTGTCATGTTGTTATTGAAAAATTACCGAAACACATTCTAAAGAAGCACGCAAGTGCATTGGAGAAGTCACGACAAGATTTAGATAATAAGGAAATAAAAAGGTATAAAATATATAAAGTATGACCATATTAATTTTAGTAACAAGTTTTTCAAGAATATTTCAATTTTTAGTAAGTATATTTTTGGTATAATTTTTTAATAAAAATTTAAATACGTTTTTTACAGTCTTACAAATTTAGAGAGTCTTAAAAGAGACATCAAGAAAAAAAATTCCTCGCGTCATTCCTCTTTTGTAAAAAAGACTAAAGGAAAGGAAACCGAAGAGACTCTATTGGATCATTTAAAGAGAGTGGAAAACGGAGAATTTGTTGACAATTCTAAAGAAGACTCGGATTTGGAAAGCACGAATCTATCTACAAAAGCAAAAGCTACTATACAAACTAACGAAGATTTAATGAAGGAAGCAGATATGGCTACAAAAAAAATGCTTTTAGATTCTACCGATTCGGATAACGGTGATTATTTAAATGAGTTCTTCCTCTATATTAATTTTGTTTAGATTTGGAGCCACTTCATATTCACTCTTACTATATTTTGTGTAAGGTTATAAGCTTATATTAAGACATAATTTATTTTCAATTCGAAGAACAAAAAAAGACTTCGGAAAGCAACAATAGTGAACAGGAGGGAAATGATGGTAAAACAAACGATGAGAAAAAGGAATCATTAAAGAAAACAAAACAAAATAGTTCGACGAACAATGAGGTAAGAATTTATACGCGATACTATTTTGATGTTGTTTGAAAAAATCACCCATTGTTCGTATGAAAAAATGTCGATTTTTGTGTTGATGTAATTAGGATGACGAAGAGGAACGAGAAAAAGGGAAATGGAGGCGAAACAAAATATTGACAATGAAGTTCTCGGATTCCGATTCGGATGTTGCAAAGGAGAAGTTGGAGAAGAAAAAACAAAAATTACGAGAAAAAGAAGAAGAAAATCATACGTGGGTTACTTAACATGCTTCTTAGTTAAACAAAAATAACGTATTGAATAAATTAAACAATTTTTTAAAATAGAGATTCTTCGGACGAGAACGCGGTTATTAAACGTAAAAGAAGAAATCGTAAAATTGTCGATTCTGATTCAGACCTACAGTTAGTGACTTCTGATTCAGATTCCAGTAGTTTAATAATAGTGAAAGATAATAAATCTTCGGACAGTGATTTTTCGGTAGGAAGAAAACAAAACAAGATATCTAAACGTAAAACACATAAATCTTCTGATTCGGATTCTTCGCCTGTAGAAAAGAGGTACGTTTTGGAGGAAATGTCAATATGGAGGACTTCGGTGACTTTTGATAATGCCTTTGTAACAATATTATATTTACATATTTACATATTTAGACCAAAAAAGAAGAGAAAACGTATTAGAAATATGGACAGCGATAGCGAAGATAATTCCGATGATCTTATGAGCTCTCAAGGAACACCTGGGAAGAAAGGTCGTAAAAACATTCGGAAAGTACTAAAAGATAAACACATTGCAGACGATACAAAACAAGCTGCAAAGGAAGAAGAGGAGAGACTTAGACGCATCGCTGAACGACAAAAAGTAGTATGTATTTGTGACTGCGCACAATTAGTTCGAAGTTTTACTAGAATTTGTGTATAAGAACGAGTATTAACTTTCTTTTTCTCAAATATAGTACAATGAAATGTATGAAGCAAGGTTGGCTGGCGAGGAAAAAGTAGATAAATTGGTGTTAGATTTTGATCCTGAAACAAAAGAAGAACTATTAAGTGTTCACAAGGATTTGGTAAAGCGTTTGAAACCACATCAAGCAAAAGGAATAAAG